TATACTCACTTGGATCCTCCTTTTCTTTCCTTACACGTTTGCTGTTGGCCACTGCTAGGGAAAAAAACCCATACTTCACTAGGCAGACTTTAGGTCTCATTTGGATGTTATTTGGAAGAAAAATCGCAATGGCGTTTGCCAATACGGACTGGCATGGGGTCAGTTAGACTCCCAAGTGTTAATTTCTGCCTTTAAGGTGCATAAGAACATGGAGATGCGTTCACCAAGATTTTGAGTTCCCCTATGCGGTATAAAAGTTTTCCTTCACAATGAGATGCTGCTTGCAAAGAAGTGAAATGAAAGCATTGTGCTGGCCTTCCCCCAGAGCAGTTGAGTCACCGCGACACGTGGTAGTTGTAACAGGGTTTCATAAGGAAACAGGTTTTATTTTTCGTGTAGATAAAACCAGCAAAATTGGTATAAGAGTTTTCAAAACTCAAAATCACTGCCCCTGAAGCACTTAATGTGGGATGTTTTTTCCCTGTGTGTAATCTTAACTCGAATGCAAAGCTGGATTCACACCTTTCTCTGCAAATTATGAAGATTCAGTGTGAGATTTTGCCCATGGCACTGAGAGCTGTGGATGTTTAGCAGGAGAAGATTTGTTTTCCCCTTTATCCCTGGAATTCTGCTCATTTCAGATAATAATTTTCTTACCAGAAGGTTTCTCCTCCCACCCCAGCTACATCATGGTGCAGCCCTCATTCCCCAGCGTTCAGCAGCTTCTTTCAAGTTCATTGGGTAATTACCAGCAAATTGTAGGGTTTTTCTGTCAAAATAAACTTTATTCTTATTTTAGACAAGGCTTCCCACCCAGGTAGCTCTTCCACTCTTTGAAGTTATTTAACTTGATAATGTTATTTTGATCAAAGTCTTAAGCTTGTTGGCAATAATCTTGAATTTGGTGTAGCTTTTATCATTTGGCAGGAATCTTTGTTGGCAGGATGGGTCTTAAAAACTGTGTTATGTGTCAGTGACCTAACACGTGTTCATTAGACAACTGAAGATTTTGTGTGTGTGACAGTAGCAGTAGTCAGGGTTGCCCGGCTGACTTAATGGAGTTTTGTGGAGTCAGGCGTTCTCACTGTGATTTCTTGGAAGGGAAGGTTGATGGTCTGACCAAAAAGTACCTTGCAGTCCCCAAGAAAAGTTGCAGAGACATTTCAAAATAGAACATTCCCCCTTGGGCTTTTTCATAGCTGGGATATTTACTCAGGATATTGAATCAGTTATTGGCCAACAGGCATTTGGCAAGCTGAAAAGCATAGCCCTAAAACCTTCATTTTAGTGTCTATTACTGTTGTCTAATTTATGGGGTTTAAACTGTCCGACTGAAGATGTTGCACATTAATGAAAAAAGAGGCATTCTAGAGGTGGCAGCTATAAATCTGAATTTAAAATACACAAAAATCATCTTTCTCCTTTGTGAGAAATGTGTTATAACTAGAGAAGTGGACTTGGTCGTTTTGAGGACTGTCAATAAGATGACAGCATTTTGATGTTGGTTTTTGTCCAACAAATACAAATAAAATCAAATAAATGAAAGTAATCTCAGTGGCACCAGGGAAGCAGAGATGTGGGGAGAAAAACTCAAGCATCGAAAGAGTTGTTCATCGCTAACCTTGGCCTTTGGTTTTATCACTTAAAAGTAGCTTAGCATTGTTTACTTGTGCCTGTTTTCACATGGGCATCCACTGAACATAGGTGATGCTGTAGCTAAGATGGTA